AACCATTTTTGCTTTGAGGCAGGGTGCATTATCCTGCTGAAAGACGCCACAGCCATCAGAGAATACCGTTTCCATGAAAGTGTGTGCACGGTTTGCAGCAATACTTAGGTAGGTGGTGCGTGTCAAAGTAACATCAACATGGTCGGCAGGACCCAAGGTTTTCCAGCAGAACATTGCCCAAAGCATCAGACCTCTGCTGAGTTGCCATCTTCCCATAGTCTGGCATCTTGGTACCAGGAGTTCCCCAGGTAATTTGTCAGGCCAGGAAAACTTCCTCTGTTGCTCATGTCCAGTTCTCACATGTCCATTCTTGGGACAGGGGGTCGGGGTCAGCAACCCGATATCCCACCCGCTAACAGGTGGCATCATGAAGAGATAATCAGTGTTATTCACTTCACCTGTCAGTGATCGTAATGTTATGCCTTATCAGTGTATATATTGACCATCACTGGCCCAAATGCAATCCTAATAAAAATCTACTGCTCTATTTTGAATGGCAACAAATGTTGACTCGCCATAAGAGTCGAGGAAACAGAAGTTCCAATAACGAACTCAGTTTAAAGAGTTCTTTGTGATGTTGAACAGGTCCTGACTTAAACTAACCAGCGTGTTAAGCCTAGTGAAATATTTAGCTCCCAAAGAGCCATATATTCTGTAGAAGCTGGTGGAGACCAAAACATGAGCAATAAACAGAGTAAATATTGGACTTATTCACATGGCCCAGTGAATAATGCTGCTAAGTATCTGTTAGTTGCATAAATAAACAGCTGTTTACCTAAGACCTCAAATGTGCTAACCTAAAATATGATAATATGTCAACAATGACTTTAGAACTTGTTTTGCTTCCAAGAAAATGTTAGTAGTAGTAGTAGTAGTACCACAGATAGTAGATACTAATAAAAAAGCACATTTAACGATATTTAAATACATTTTTTAATGCATTCAGTTTTTAAGCCAAATACTTATTTTCAGGTATTCTACTTTCAAGAGTAAAAGTTTAATTTACCTTACGTAGACTTTTCCTTTCTTCTTTACTGGTCTATTTTTTCTATAACTGCCCCCCCCCACACACACACACACACACACAGTCATGCACCCTCCTCTCCCGTTCAGCCTTTCTTTTTTCCTCCCCTGCCCTCCTTCCTTCTCCTCATCACTGAAGGTGTCAGGACTCTAACGCTGCAGTGCCATCTGGGCCGAGGCTGATAAAAGCTCATGTGCCGGTCCGGCGATGCCTGCAGGTCTGCCAGAAGCCAGCGAAGCCTGACTTTCAGAGGCGATGGGAGAGATTTGTGGCAGAAAGGAAGGAATGGCAAGCCGTGAACGTGCTGATCCAGCGCCCCCACCCCCACTTGCCCTCCTCCCCCATTCCTCTGCACCACCTCTGTCTATCTGTCAGTCAGTCACATGGCCCTGCACTGGCCTGAATCCTTACTTAGGAAAAGGCTCCTTTTTTGTTCAAGGAAAACCAACATGAGACAGGATGGCTTTTTGATCTCTCTTGTGGCTATTGGGAATTCTGTTTGGGTGACCTCTCTTTTGTGCCATATTATCCCAAACAGAGTGAGTTAGAATATGAATCTTCCACCATACTGTTAATTTTAGATAAGACCATGCAGTCGCTTTTTAGCACTTTTAAAACCAAATTCTGGATACAGCAGATTTCTTCCTTGCTGTCTGGACTGCTAACCTGCAAACTCCATTTCTATAAAAACACTGACAGATGTAGCTGCTTGTTTTGAAAATAGAGATAACTCCTAGAGTTAGCCAAAATGAGTAGCAGTATACTGTATTTAAATGTATTTGCTAGCTAGGTAGATTTTAAAGTTTTTAGCCGCTACATATTTACAAGTAGTATCATCATGCTAGACAGCATAGGGATGCAGCTGTCATGAAACGCTGTGTGGCAGGCAGGAGATGAGGACTCAAAGTGCAGGACTCACAGACTCAGGGGATGAACTCAAAATCACAGCTTTATTTGCTGGTCACAGAAAAACGAGCATACAAAGTAAACTAAGCTAAACTGGGAAACAATGAACTAAAACTCACAGGGAGATCCACACAGCAAGAGGGACGACGTGACACTGACTCAGAGAAACACAGGGTTTAAATACACTGGGAAGTAACGAGGGGAATGACACACAGAAGGAGAGCACAGCTGGGAGAAATCAGAACTGACGAGACAAGGAAGCAAAGTAGGATACACTCACATGAGACATAGGCTGTATCCCAATTCAGGGTCTGCAGCCTTAAAGTACGCAGCCTCAACGATCCTCAAGGGCAGCGTACTCAAAGACCGCTAAGGCCGGAAGTGCGAGGCTTGTGAAATGGGACGGTCTGGCCTCCGTTGCGCTGCCCAGGTTGCCTAGTAACCATGATACTAACAGCTGGAAACGTTTCATACAGCTTTGTTTGACAGAAATGAAGGAGAACATATTTTGTTCATTTGTTTGTTTGTTTCTACATGAGCTTTGATCATTCTCTGTAAGATTAAGCTCAGCTATTGAACGGCGTATATTTTAAAGTAAAGGCTGTAAAACCAAGTTAGTACAAACGTCACTAATGTCACATAACTTTGCCGACATGTGGCCAACAGTAATGTTCTTCGTTATTAAACATTTGCACATAAATAAGTGACATAATATTCAGTACTTAGTTTACTAAGTTACTCTTCGGGCGCCCCTCATCCGCCGTTTTTTTTGGCAAAATTATCACACCCACCGCCGCACTGTGCATTCTGGGATATGTTGGGCCACGAAGTCTACACCGCCACGTCCTTAAAATTCAGGGAAATTAAGGACGCATTTGAGGGCCGCATTTTGAGAAGCCTTTGAATTGGGACAGCCTTCGTCACGTCGCGGTGACGTAATCGGCCTTAAAATGCGGCCTTTAAGGCTGCAGACCCTGAATTGGGATACAGCCACAGACCTTCAGAGTAAAACAGGAATTAGCACAGACACAAACTAGACTAGGAGAGACAGAGCAACTAAGAAACACAGACAACACCAACAACAAAGAGACACAGAGGGCAGCTACTAAATACTCAGAGAACTAAACAGAATACAAGAAAACCAAACTAAGACACTAAAGAATAAGCTGGGACAACAAAGAGAACTAAGAACATAATACAAAAAACTCAGAGGCACAAGAAACTCAAAACAGTCACTGACCCAGGACCGTGACAGCAGCAGTGAAACATCTGAATTGGCCATATCATTGTTGCTACTGGTTTATCAGTAAATAAGAGGGCATGTACAGGAAGCACACCTACTCTGTTTTTGTTCTCTTTCAACATGATGACTTGCACAACAAGCTAATGTTGTTGCAGTGACCCAATGATAGCTTAACATCAATGCAAATGAGTAGGAAACAGGAATGATCAGACTGAAACGTCTTTTTCAGTTTGCAGCTTGCTAACCAGGGAAGATGCCGTGCTTCATGCCCTTTTTACAGTGCAGATAAAGGGTGGGTATGTAAAGATTAAAACTTTGTTGTAAGATAGTTTCTGTAGTGACTAGTCTTCCTTGATTTCGTCTGTAGGAGCGGTAATAAGCCTTGTAGGCTCTGTGGATGTGGATGTGTCCTTTGTGATTGGTTTTCTTTACTGGTAAATTGCCACAGAGGAACTCTATTATTTATTCTCGTCATTTGTCATCTTTCAGGGTGAATAGGATTTATTTTATTCTTTTTTTGTTTTTTTAATTGATAATCATTGGGCGATTAAAGGAAACCATGCAGGGCACTCTTTTGCTTTGTCAGATCAAAGCAGAGATGTGCATGTTCGACCATTTTTTCTTAATAATGATAAAATGCCTCCTACGGATCGAAAGGTGAGAAAGGACATGCTGTTGATATTAAGGGTTACTATTAAGCTTATTGATTGAGGAATCAATGTAGTCAATGGAACGTATGACAAC